TTTGATCTTCATCAGTAAGTGCTTCAAGCTATCTTTGTTTTCACCAAGCAAGGTTGTATGACATACATATCATAGTTTGTTAATGAATCGTTCTCCAATCCTGGTGTTGCATTCTCCTTCAGCTAGTCCAGCTTCTTGGATTATTTGCTCAGCATAAATCCAAAACCAAACCCACTGCTGTGGAATCAATTCTGACTCAGAGGGACCCTATAGGACAGAGTAGAACTGCCCCATGGGGTTTTCAAGGCTGTAAATCTTTACAGAAGCAAACTGCCGTATTTTTCTCCCATAGAGTGGATAAGGGGATCAAACCATTGACCTTTTGGTTAGCAGCCCAGTGCTTTAACCACTGTGCCACCCAGGTTCCTTTGCTCACCATACAGATTTAATAAATATGGTGAAAGGATACAACACTGATGACACCTTTCCTAGTTTTAAACCACGAATTATCCCCTTGTTCTGTTGGGATGACTGCTTCTTGGTCTATGTTCAGGTTCCTCGTGAGCACAATTAAGTGTTCTGGAATTCCCATTCTTTGCAATGTTATGCATAATTTGTTATGATCTTCATAGTCAAATGCCTTTGCATAGTCAATAAAACACAGGTAAACATATTTCTGGTGTTTTCTCCTTTCAGCCAAGGTCCATCTGACATCAGCAGTGATATCCTTTGTTCCACATCCTCTTCTAAATCTGGCTTGAATTTCTGGCAGTTCCCTGTTGATGTTTTTGAATTATCTTCAGCAAATTTTACTTGAGCTCTGGTGTCGTAGTGCCTAAGGCATTTGACTACTAAACAGAAGGCTGGTGGTTCGAACCCACCAGCCACTCCTTCGGAAGGAAGATTGGGCAGTCTACTTCTGTAGTGATAGTGCCTAAGAAATCCAAGGAGGGGTCGCTATGAGTCAGATCTGACTTGACGGCAGTGAGTTTGTATTTTTTTTGTTTGTTTGTTTTATGATATTGTTTGATAATTTCTCCACATTATTGGATCACCTTTCTTTGCAATGAGCACAAATATGGATTTCTTCCAGTCAGTTGGCCAGGTAGCTGTCTTCTAAATTTCTTGGCACAGAGGAATGAACACTTCCAGCATTGCATCCATTTGTTGAAACATCTCATTTGTTATTCCATCAATTCTTAGAACTTTGTTTTTCTCCAATGCCTTCAGTGAAGCTGGGACTTCTTCCTTCCATACTATAGGTTCTTGATCTTACGTTACCTTCTGAACATAGGTATGAACATGGTATAGTGAGTGACTCTGTGTATTCCTTTCATCTTCTTTTGATGCTTCCTGCATTGTTCAATATTTTGCCATAGAATCCTTTGATATTGCCACTCAAGGCTTGAATTTTTCCTTCGGTCCTTTCAGCTTGAGAAATGCCAACTGTGTTCTTCTCTTGTGGTTTTCTAATTCCAGGTCTTTGTACATCTCATTATAGTACTTTATTTTGTTATCTCTATCCACCCTTTGAAATCTTCTGTTCAGCTCTTTTTTTGTATCATTTCTTCCATTCATTTTAGCTCCTCTGTGTTCCAGAGTCTTTTTCTGACATCTCTTTTGATCTTTTCTTTCTTTCCTGTCTTTTTAGTGATCTTTTGCTTTTTTCATATATGATGCCATCACATAGGTTGTTTGGTCTTTGGCATTAGTGTTCAGTGTGTCAAATCTGTTCTTGACATGGTCTCTAAATTTAAGTAGGATATAGTCAAGATCATATTTTGGCTCTGATGGGCTTGTTTAATTTTCTGCAGCTTCAACTGGAACTTCCATATTAGCAATTGGTGGTCTGTTCTGCAATCAACCCCTGACCTTGTTCTGATTGATGATACTGAGGTTTTTCATCATCTCTTTCCACAGATACAGTCAATTTTATTACTGTGTATTCCATTTGGTGAGATGCACGTGTATAATAACCATTTATGTTGTTGAAAAAAGGTATTTGCAATGAATAAGTCATTGGTCTCGCAAAGTTCTATCATGCAATCTCCAGCATTATTTCTTTCACCAAAGCCGTATTTCCCAGCTACTGATTCTACTTCTTCTTCTTTTTTGTAAAGCGTATATATATATTTGATTTTTAAACTTTTTATTGTGATTTGGGTAAAAGTTTACAGAGCAAACTCATTTTCCATGCAGTAATTCATACACATTTTGTCTCATGATATTGACTGTAATTCTCCACAGTATAATAGCTCTCTTTCTACCTCCTCCCTGTAGTTACCTCTTCCTGTCCCCTGAGCTGTCTCCCTGTCCAATCCGTTTTTGTTTCCAACTTTCACATTCCAATCACCAGTAATTATCAATACATCTTGACTACATATTTGATCAATTTCAGACTGCAGAAGTTGGTAACAATCTTCTTCAGTTTCTTCATCTTTAGTGTTAGTGGTTGGTGTGTAAATTTGAATTATAGTCATATTAATTGTTCTTCCTTGTAGGTCTATGGATATTATGCTACCATTGACAGTATTGTACTTCAGGATAGATCTAGATCTTGAAATGTTCTTTTTGATGATGAATACAACACCATTCGTCTTCAATTTGTCATTCCTAACATAGTAGATCATATGATTGGCTAATTCAAAATGTCCAATACCTGTCCATTTCAGCTCACTAATGCCTAGGATATCGATCTTTATGCATTCCATTTCATTTTTGACGACTTCCAATTTTTCTAGATTCATATGAAGTCTACCTAACTATATTTACAGATTCATATTTCCCAGCTCGATGAGGCATTTGTTTATGTGTTCATTTGGAGAGACTCCGTACTGTGCAGAGTTGGGTTGACTGAAATCTTTATGGAAGCCGCTCACCAGGCCTGCAACTTCTGCAGTCCTGCTGGGTGGTTTCAAACAGGCAACCTTTGGGTTCTTAGCCAAGTGCCGACCATTTGCACTACCCAGGGACTTCCAGCTTGAATGTTAAGTTCACCTATTTGATTTGGAAAAAAAACAAAAAACCGTTTTTGCCTGCTTTTGTTTTTCTGAATGTATGTATGTATGAATGTACAGTAGGATCTCCTGTGTTTGCCTTTGATGAGAAGCACCTTAAGAAGCTAAACTTTTGTTGTGTCTTTTGCTGTTTGGGACTTAGTAATATTGCCTCACCTGTGAATGACTGCAAATAAATCTTCAGTTGTTCGAGGTTTGTTTGGAGACACGAACGCACCTTCCACTTCTGCTTGAGAGTCTTCACTGAGTGGTGAAATGATGGAGTCATCACTTGGTGACGAGTCTTAAAATAAGAACAGAAGCACCTTTAGGAGGAAGTTACTAGCACACCACTGTGCTTCACTGATTTGGGAACAAACAGACAAAAGTTACCTTACTGCCATTTTTAAAATGAGAGAGATACCTGGCAAAGCTTGTTGTTGTTGTATTCAATAATAAAAACTTATAGCTCAACTTTTATAATAAATTAAAAACTAGAAGGAAACCAATATCCGGGGATATATAGTATCGTGGAGAATGTAAAAAAAAATTCAGGAAGTGTGATAAGACACATATCCATTGTGATAAAGGGTCAACAACTTACCTTTCAATGAAGCCTCGTCCACACTTCCATGAGTCTCCTCTGCTCTGCTGTCATCAGAGGCACTTTTGGCTGAAATACCTGAAGCAATATTTTCCTGCTCAGAATATTTGTCAGGTTCTGAATTTACAGTTGATATCTCTGATTCATAGCTGATATTCCCAGGCACTTTGTCATAGTGGTAGCTCATAACAAGTTGATGCTTAAGTTGATAGCATATATCTGTTGCTCTACTTGGTGAGTTGGACTGAGATGTGATTACATCCACAGATTCAGGTTGTGCAACTCCCTCCCAATCTATAGAGGATGCCTTCTGTACCTGTTCTAGGGCTCCATCTAGACCAGCCCCATATTGTGTTATTATAGCATCAGAATCATTTGAGTGGACAGCAGAGACCTTCTGAAATTCTTCTGGGGAAAAGTCACAGTTTTTACTTGGTGTGTTTCCTGGAATAGGCTCACTCTCCATATGCATTTGGTCTTTTATGACATTTGAGTCTAGAAGATTGCTACCAGCTGAGTTTGCAGTTCCTGGATCACAATGATTCTTCACATCAAATGTAGGTTTTTTTCCTAAATGTAGTTTATCTGGTCCCATCTCAATTGGAGAGGCATCTAAAAAGGATAGTATGGCATCTTCAGTGGAGTACTGACGTGATAGTGATTTCTTAGCTATATGTGGCCTAATCTTTCCTGGAGACAAGGCAGCCATTGTGAGGGTGCTTTCCTCTAAGTAGGGGAGATCTGTATTGTTGCCTTCTTTTTGCTTAGCTTCTTCAGACTTACTGATGGACCTAAGGTTAACAGACTTCAGGACTGTAGGTGTAATTGCAAGGGATGGTGGAGGATTAGACTTCAGTGTATCTCCTACTGTATTCTGTTTATTATGACTAAAAACATGCAATGGATGACGGTGGTGGAATGGTTTATTCAAGACATTATGAAGAGCACTTAGGTCAAGATGAGTAGGAGGTATAATCGGAAGTTCAAGGTCTTTATTCAGTGAGAGAGTTCCATCTTTTAAAGAAGGCTGCTGTAGTGAGGATTTCCTTTCTGGGACTTTAGGTTTTCTTTTGCTACCTCCAGGAGACAATGGCCCAGAAAAGAAAGCTGTAGGGAAAGAGGATGTTGGTGTTTCAGACTGGCTTGAATAGCCACTTGATGGAGATGCCAAGCCAGCCAGCTTTTCTGGTGAAACCAATTTAAACTCATTGTCAACAGAAGGTAGGGATGGGGTGGTGGCTCTTGATTCTGATTGGGATGTTTGGGATTCAGAGCTCTCTGGAGATTTGATGCATTCGATTACTGTGGTACCCGTAGCAGTGCTTGAATTAGATAAAGATCTATAAGGGTCATTTGTTTTCAAGTCACTGAGAAGCCAGAGATCTGCATAGTGAGTTGATTCAGCACCTTCATCTTTGAATGGTGGAATATCTGAAGTGTCTAACTGAGGTTGCTTAGTACCATGTTCACTCTGGTTCATCCAGGAAGGTTCTTGCTTGGTAGGAATATTGGCGTTTTCCACCCGAGAAGGCGTGTTGGAGAAATCAAGAGGCAGCTTCATTTCCCTGGAACTGTGAGGCAAGTGCTGACCACTGCTTATCTTTGGTTCTTTCTTCTCAGAAATGTCTGCATTTCCTTCAGACTTCCTCAAAGATGAGCTACGTTTAGGTGGGGTAGGCTTTGCCTTTGGTTTTCTAAAAGAGATGCTTGGTCTCGCTTGCCTCCTGTGGTCTAAGTAGTCCGGCCAGGCACAATCTGGAACATCAGGAGGAACCCCAACACCCTGGCCATTCTCAGGGCCCAGGGATGCATAGTGACAGACATAACTCTTATTACCTTTGAGACCACAGTCAAAATGCATGGAGGTATAGTACCCTTCCGTGTCCACTGAAAAGTGAGAGCTAGTGTCAGCTTTGTCCGATGGAGACTTTTCCAGGAAGCTGTCATAAGTGGCCATGCTCGTGAAGCTTGGGCAGCCCAGGCTGTCTGCCTTGGGATGCTCAGGACTAAAATCCTGGCGGCAGGAGGCATCGTGATGGTGGTGTAGGTAGTTCCACTCACTGTCACTTGTGTTGCTATTGTTGGGGTCATCCAGCAGATCTGCAACAGTGGAGGTAAAGGAGTTTGCCCGGTGGCCTCTCACTTTATCCATGTGATCATTGTACTGCTCTGTCACAAAGACACTGGAGTCCTCATTAGCATGAGGTGCCGTGTTTAATGACAGCTCTGAGTCACAGTGTGAAGAGCCAGTGAGGGGAGGAGATGCTGCAGGAGGGATTGTCTCTGAGGTCTGTGAGGGGCATGTAGAGCTGCTCCCACTCCAGTTCCCACTGGATGACTGGTGGTCGTCTTTCTGGTCCATGTGGCTGCTGAGGAGGACGCCAGCTGTGGAGATGCAGTGGATGGGGCTCCCAAAGGTGTCTGAGTTGGAAGAGATGTCACAGCTGCCAGAGTCAGCAGCCATTCGGGACAGACGAGACCTCCCTCTCTCACTTAACTTGTGCTGGGGGCTATGAAGATGTTGAGAACATGCCAGGCCTAAAGCGGGCTGATGTTCCTGTGCACCTGGGCTGCTTGGGGCTTCACTGCAATCATTGGGGGTTCTTTCATGGTCACCCATGAAAGGCTCCCCCTCTTCATATGCTGAGGGTTTAGCACCAACTTGGGGCTCAGCATCCCCGCCTCTGTTACCCTCCCGGGGCAGGCTCCGAGATCTTGTGCGGCTGCTCACTGCAGTGGTAAACATGGTGTCACCTTTGTCTGCCAGCGCAGAGATGTTGCCAGCAGAATGAGAAAGGGAAGCTGCAATGCTCTGACCCCTTTGAGCTCTGATTCTCCTTCTGGATGGAGCGGCGATAAGAATATCCTCAGTTTGGCACTCAGAGTCCCTGGTTCCGGACCTCCTATTGACAGCGTTGGAGGGGTCTGGATTTGTGTGCACAATCACGTTCCTTTCCCTGGCCACTGGTGATTCATCAGAATCTAGGTACATGGAAAGCACAGTGAGATCTTTTATACATCAGCAGGTTAATAAACATTCTGAAAGAGATCCCCACATCTGTGCACATATATAAAATCAGTCTATAAAATTAGGAGAAAGTGAAAAATGCTACGGGGAATTATTTATCTATCTATACACATTTTAAGAGAAGATATGCTTTTAGATACCTTGTGGATTATCACTCTCTTCACTGTCAAATTACTTTGTCTCGATAAATGATTAATCTCTCTCTCTTTACACACACATATATATTTAAACTAAAGTATATTTTATCTTCTTGGCACCACTATAATAATGTTCTTCATTTTTATTTTGTAATATATAAACATAGTGAAATAAAGTCACAGAATTCATTATAAGAAATAAAAATGTTATTTATAAGAGATGCTACTATAGTAATTAAAAAATATTGCAGATATACTAAAGTCATTGAATAGAAAAATATCACCAAGGTCATCATATTACCAGTATTCAATATTTAATTGGATATGGTTGACATTTACCTTTTGAAATCATTAATGCCATAGAAGTATCTCTTTTCAAATAAAATTCCAATTTACAAAAACATTCTTTCAGTTGATCTTGCTCCTTTTTATTCACAATTTCCACCTTAATAAAACTTTTTAAAATTAGCAAAAGATTACATTTCAACCATAAGACCTGGACTTACATGCCTAAATCCATAAGGTCAAAGCTTCACAGAGAACAGAGATTCAAAATGTAATATCACCTGGTTTGCTGAATACTATACAAATACAGACCATTTTAAAACTCTGCAAGTTCAAACATTTAGTATTTGTAAGGAAGTTGGTTGGAGGCCAGCTTCCATTTCCTCTCCTCCCCACCTGCGGTGGACAGAATGGTAACCATTATTAGCGTTTGTTATACCACACCTATTTCTTGTTGGACTCTTCTGGGGATGCCTGAGATGGTCTTCCTCCTCCTCAATTTGCGTCTCCGCTGTAGTACGGATTGTGAATGAACAAGAGAGCAGCGTATACTAGCCTCTCTGTCAAAACCAACTCCTGCAACCCACAAATAGGTCTCATTAGCCTTTAGAGATGGCAAACAAATTGTCATTGGCTTGGAACACAGTGATATTTATTGACTGAAAGTAAGGGAAGCGTTTGGATAAAGCCTGTGAACAAATAAAAGGAAGCCCTTATTCAGCTCTTATTTAAATTATGCTGCAGTACATTAAGCATCACTTCTAAATGCAGCTCTCCACAACAGCTTTCTGTGCCAAAAGTACCAAGGAAGGAAAATCAAAAGAAAGAAGAGAAAAATAACATCAAAAATTCACTTTCACACACAGAAATGGCTCTATCAGGACTATTTGCTGCTCTGTTCCTGGGCTCTCGGAAGCTGATACCTTTGCATAGTAGATCAGTAGCCAAGATGTGAACCTGAATTAGTTCAGCTAACACAACCTGACCCATTTCTTCATTAAAAAGCATCTTTGTGTGTTTTTTCCCTCCACCTCCTGTGCTGAAACCTTCCTTTTCTCCCTACACACACACACACACACACACACACGCGTGCGCGCGCGTGCACTCACACACACACACGCACACACATACCATCTGTGAGGACACTCACTAGCCTAGAGATTTAAAAAAGAAAAACCAACTGGTAACTCCTGCTGACTAAATTTGATACTTTTTGGTTTAGCACCAACTGTCTTATCAATATAAAATAAAAAATGCAGGGCAGTCCCCAATCCTAAATTTAAATGGATCCACCCTCTGTAGCAACTGTGAAGCTGGAATTCCCATCTGTTTTTGTAAATACGAGGGACAAACGATGGAGTTTTTTGGGTTGACTCTCCATCATGTACTACATGCAGTTCAAGCTCCTCTCTGACACAGACATGCAATGTGCACTTTTCACAGTGGGCTTTGCCTCAGAAAGCCATACCGGTGTGCTTCGGAATCTGGTCGCCTCATCATTTATCCTGATTGTTACGTGCGGGGCAGGATGACATGTTAAATCTTGGTTCAGTTATATAACGAAGCAGTTTGAGTTCAGCTTAGGATCACAGTGCCAACAGTTTCTAGAGCTTACTTGAAAAAGTCTGTATGAGCTACCATACCATGTCTTTGATGAAGACATTACAATATTATCAGAGAGTTAGCACTAATGATATTTTTCTTTCTTAGTTCTAACCAAAAATGAAAATCCTTCATTCTAATCTTAAAAGGGTAATTATAGAACATACAGCATACAGACATTGTATGTTATAGGGACACCATTAACAACTTTCTCATTAAAGGTCTTAAAAATCAACATATAACCTAGGCTTTAGTCTGAGAGTTCCTGAATAAAGCAGAAGAAAAGTCTTCCCTTTTCTTTAATCACAAAATGATGGCTTATAGTCATAGTACTCAAAACAAAAACCATCTAGTTGATCCCAACATATAGCAACCCTATAGAACAGAGTTGAACTGCCCCAAAGGGTTTCCAAGGCTGTAATCTTTTTTTTATTTTCCTAACTTTTATTAATTTTTTTTTGTTGTTCATAATATGCACAGCACCACATGCACCAATTCAACAGTTTCTATATGTACCATTTGGTGACACTGATTACATTCTCTGAGCTGTCCAACCATTCTCACCCTCCTTTTGGAAGTGCTTCTCCTTCATTAACATACATTCACTGCTACCTAAGGTTCCAATCTAATCTTTCAAGTTGCTGTTCTCAATTTGATCCCATATAGATAGTCCTTATAAGGGCATAATGCTCAAGGCAGCCCGTTTTTACTAGTGAAGCTGAACTTTTGTTGGGTTTTTAGATGACTCCAGGGGATACTTTTGGTTTAAGGTTTAAAGATAATCTCAGGGCAATAGTTTCAGGGGTTTGGCCACCTTTCATGGCTCCAGAAAGTCTAGAGTTTATGAGAATTTTAAATTCTGTTCTTTATTTTCCCCCTTTTGATCAAGATTCTTCTATGGAATCTTTGATCAAAATGCCCAGTAACGTAGCTGGGCATCATCCAGTTCTTCTGGTTTCATGGCAAAAGAGGCAGTTGTTCATGGAGGCAATTAGACACACATTCCAAATCCTCCTCCTATTCCTGATTCTCCTTCTTCCTCTGTTGCTCCAGGTGAATACAGACCACTTATTATGCCTTGGATGGCCATTTGCAAGCTTTTAAGACCCTAGGCACTATACAATGAACTAGGAGGTAGAACAGAAGCACTAAACATGTTATTAGGCCAATTAACTGTGATGTCCCACGGAACCATGACCCTAAACCTGCTCGTCAAAGAACCAAATTCCATGAGGTGTTTGCGTGTACCTAAGGAGCCTCAGCAGCTACTCTTTTATTCATTTATTTTTTGTCATTGTTGTAAATAAACCTATCACACAACTTTTCCCAATTTAACTTTTTACAGGTGTACAAGTTATTGATAGTAATTACTGTAATCGGCTGTGAACTCTGCTCTTAATCAATGCTATTTTTTCATCATCCCCGCTTAGTTAAGCACCCCCATTTGCCCTCTTCCTTCCACCCCTGGTAACCACTAATAAACTCTAGTCTCTATAATTTGCTTTTTCTTATCTTTTTGTATATGTCCCAGTCTGTAAACTTTACGGAAGCAGATTGTCACATCTCTCTCCCACAGAGTGTCTGGTGGATTAGAACTGCCGACCTTTCAGCTAAGTTAGCAGCTAAGTGCTTAACCACTACACCACCAGGGGTCCTTATAATCATAGTACTAAATTGGAAAACAAGATTTTACCTACAGTGCCATGGAGGAAGCAGGTGCTGCTAATAATCAGATGTTCCCAGAGCTGAAAGTTAGTCTAAACCAAAACCCACTGCCATGCAGTTGATTCTGACTCATAGTGACCTTATAGGACAGAGTACAACTGTCCTATAGGGTTTCCAAACCTATAAAACAGACTGCTTCATTTTTCTCCCATGGAGCAGCTGGTGGGTTTAAAATGCTGACCTTTATAGGTTAGCAGCCGAATGCTTTAACCACTGCACTACCAGAGCTCCTTGAAAATTAGTTTAACATCTCTTTTGGCAGCTGAATTTCCCTAATATGTCCCATTTAGATTATGGAAGTCAGATAAGTGTTCATCCTTAGAGTAATTTATCCTACAGTTTGACTAGGTCAACAAGAAAATTAACTCCCAGCTCACGACGATCAACTAGAACTCTCTTTTATCAGGAAGGAAATAATATCTGTCCCAGATACCTAATCACCATTTGCTCCCCTCTTTAGGTGAGAGAAATTTGAGTGATGTCAATACTAGCCATGCCCAAATTGCAACTCAAGGAGCATATAATATTTAGTCACAGAGTACCAGAATGAAAAAATCAAAATATGGCTATTCTGAAAATTTCAATATACAAATAAATTAAAGTCTAACTATTAGAGCTATTTAAAGAAAGCCCAATGGATAGATCCTTTAATTTCTACATTTGAAAGTTAGAATGTTTTATAATGCTATTTTACATATAACTAAGATTACCAGATCCAAATCTGGAATTTAAAATCGCTACCAATAAACTTTTAAAGAAAAATTCAGACAGGCTTCCATTCTAATATCCAAACTATCATTATACAGGCGGGGGAAAGCAGAGAGTGAAAGAAAGACAGGCTTGCTGGTTCTAGAATACAATTCAGCATTCATCTATGTGTCCATAAATTGTTAGGTCATAAATCCCTAAAATCAATACAAAAGGCTAAACGGTCTTTTTGAAAAGCCTACCTTCATCCAAGGAAGCATGAAAACAAATTTTATTATTGGGCTATAGCATCATTGCTTGCAGTTTTAGAAACCTGGCCTTGCTGTTTTCTTTCTTGCAGTGCCACTCATTATCATATGATTAATCACTGCTACTTCCTCCATTATTTCAGTCAGCTCTGGCCAAAGAGCTATTTGGTAATTTTTTTTCAAAAAGAAACTATCATTTACATAACAAATGGCACAGCACAGCATATGCCAATTAATGTTCAAAACCCGACAAAAGCATATTCAGCATCTTCTGGGTTGTATTTTGATGATAAAGGCATTCCTTATTTACTAAGTTGTGTTCTTAATGGTAGACCCAGCAGCACGAACTTTGAACATACTTAATACACAGAATATTTTGACCCAACTGCCCCTAAGAAAAGAACAGAACAATACCAGTGACATTGATGGGAATAATGCAAGAAGAAATCACTTGTGCATCTTGTTTCATCTTCTCCTCCGGCGTTGGGAGAGGTAGGGCTTTGCTCCAGTTGGTCTGCTTGTCCAGTGTTGAGGGGATATTGTGTATTGGATTTTTCGGCCTCTGCCCTAACATGACATCTGTATCTTCATCCTCTGGGGGATGGGACTGCAAATGAAATATATTCAGACTCGGCCATCATAGTTTATAAATAAGCACCCATATAAAGAGATTCACAGTTTAGTTGAGAAAAATGAGGTCAGAAATAAGTTTTCAGGACAAAGGAGGAATTCCTGAAATAGCACCCACAACTAATTCAAAGTATTGTTTTAATAGTCAAGCGACACAAAAGCAAAGTCAGAATATGCTAAATCAACATGCTTTTTAGGTTAAATGGACTAAGAGGAGAGACCAGGTAGCCAGAAATGTCCAAACTTCAAAGTGAAAAGAAATGTGAGTCTCAAATCCAGTGAAAAGTAAGTCCGCAGTCTGGATGTCTGTCTCTTCAAAAATTCCTATCAAAAGTCCTGAGAGCTCTAGGTGACTAGGATCAAAGGAAGAAGATGATTTAGCTGCCTGTGTATAAGTTCAAAGAGCATGCCCAAAAACCCAGAGTCAGGAGACATTCCAGAACACAGCACCCAAAAGACAAGCCAGCCAAGTCTGCGGGGCCAGATTAAAAACACAGGAGTTCAGTTCACCGTGAAACTACAGCATTAGTGGAGAACATTTCAAAAACTCCACTTCATTGATACAGTGATACACATGGAAAAGCAAAAGTGAAGAATTGCTTCCAACTTTAGGGAAAAACACAAATGCTGTTACCGGGGAAAAGATTCAAGTGTGTTTTTTCAAATCTGGGAGCTCTGGTAGCGTAGTGCCTAAGGCACTTGACTGCTAACCAGAAGGCTGCTGGTTCAAACCCACCAGCCACTCCTTGGAAAGAAGGTTGGGCAATCTACTTCCGTAGTGATACTGCCTCAGAAACCCAAGGAGGGGTCGCTATGAGTCGGGGGCCGACTCGATGGCACATAACAACGACAACAAAGCAGTTCTAGGCTCTTTTCTTTTGGTTTTACAGAAGCGCAAAGCTTTTCTCCCAGCTCTGTAGTTAGGGGCTTTCACTTTCATAAGACATCTGAGAGTTCTCAACCCAAATCTTTGATAAATATTAATACTGTCTTTTATTTCAGAGTTGGGCTCCTAGCCCAGATTATGAAAAAGACTCCATCCTGTTTTTTATTTCAGGGTTGGGTTTCTAAATCAGATTATTAAAAGACCCAGTTTTCACCACTGAACTTAGTTTTATTTGCTTACACATTTTAGAGGAAAGTGTGCATTTTCCCTCTTATTCTAATAAGGCTTTCATAATATTCTATATTAAAATCTGGATCATTCGTTTTTCATTTCTCTTCCTCACGTTAGGCAACACCATGCGCTGCTGCTTCAGAGGATTCCACAAATTGTCAAATTAACCGTTCTCAAGTCCCCTTAAAGAGCTGATTCCAGAGCCACTTGACTCAACTACCACCCAGCATTTGCTTACCTTGTCAGAGGTTTCTGCGCAGCCCCCCAACACACCCAAGAGGATATAATTCCCTCCCTTGAGAAAAATGTGTTCTCCATGAACGTTTTAGTAAAACATTGCAACCTTCTTTCTCTCTTCAGCTTTTGTGCAGATTCCCAGCAAAGCGAATAGCTCAAATAAAGTTCGAGCACAAAAGACTTTGTTTCCTAGGTAACTTCCAAAAAAAAAAAAAAAGTTTGGTGCATGCAAAAAATATAGAGAGAGAGACCACAAGCCAGTGTGCAAGCGAGCTAGAGCTGCAGCGAACCCCTACCAAAAGCCACATTCTGTGGGTGATTCCTTCCTTGAATAACAATGGACTGAGAAACAAAGAAGGAATAGTGTGACCTGACTACAGGCCCTGACCAGAGCCCCAAAGCACTCTTTTATTTAATGGTGGCAGGGACTACTGCCTGCCAGAAAATCCTTTTGTCCTGTTCTCTTTTTTGATTTGAGAAGTTGAACTTTTGCAGTTCTGATAAATAAGGGCAAGTTGGAATTTCTTTCCTCTAAACTACAAAGTGCAGGAGCAGCATTAGGTCATGCCCATCTTGAACAGAGTCTTCGTTGCAACTTGAGAGGGCAAAAAAATAGAAAATGGGGAAAAAAATCAGAGGCATGTTGTCTAAATGATACTTTATTTAATTCCAGTTAGGAAAATACCACTCTTTAAGATGATTTAAAGAAAACATCGTTAGTTAGAAACAGAGTTTGCAATAAAGTTAAAAGAGAAAAAAGTGAAAGTGAATGGAGAAAGTGGGATAGGGCTGTGAAGGAATGTTCTCAGAGCCAATACCTTTCTACTCCATGGGGTCATGTGGCAACACTCAGTGTGGGAGGACGAACAGGTGCTGTTAAACTATGGACATGAAATGCAAAAAAAAAAAAAAATAAATTAAAAACATGCACACAACACACAATATACCCTGGTTAAGCCAAATGTATGATATTAATGAATGAATAGAGAATGAATATACTGGGACAACTCCCTTCCTTCCTTCCAGTCTTTATTTTATGAGCAGTAGCATAAGTAGAAGGAGCCCTGGTGACGCAATGGTTAAAGCACTCATCTGCTAATGGAAAGGTCAGCAGTTCAAACCCATCAGCTGCTCCTTGGGAGAAAGATGTGGCAGTCTGCTTCCTGAGGAAGGGAAGTGGTGGGCACGTGGAGGAAGTGGAAAAAGTGCTGTTGCGTTGTGGGGATTGTAGTGAATGTGTTGCATTGTGGGGATTGCAGTGAATGTCACAAAACAGAATTATGTATTATTGAATGGAAAACTAATTTGCTTTGGAAACTTTTACCTAAATCACAAAAGAAAAAAATTAAAATAATAATAATAAAAAGATTTACAGCCTTGGAAACCCTATGGGGCAATTCTACTCTGTCCTGCAGGCTCTATGAGTCAGAATCAACTCCACGGCAGTGGATTTTTTTTTTTTTTAAGTATAAATAGTGTTAAGAACATAGACTTGGAGCTAGACTGAGTTAAAATCTTGGCTCCACCACTTATTTGCTGTGAGCAAATTACTTATTTGACTAGGGGGCAATTATTCAACCTCTCTATAAGGTCAGTTTGCCTCTTCTTCTTATTCATAAACTAACTCTAGTTGGAGACAGGGCCAATGTCATGGATGTATGCCCTATGCAGTCACACAGGGTCCACATTTGGTTTAAAGCTCTGCTGTCACTGTCTTGAAAACCTTAAATTTTCAATAAGGGGCCCTGCATTCTCATTTTGTGCTGGGCCTCACAAATTATGTAGCCTGTCCTGTTTGGAGAATAATCTGGTAACCAAAATCCCCTTTTTGGGACCTACTGAGAAGGAAATTGAAACTCTTTTAAATAACTCTAAACCAGGTCAGTTTTGGATGCAATTAGGCATTTATTATAACACTTACCCTATACCACTGCTTTAATGTAACATGAGTTATTCCTGTATGTGTCTTTTTCACCTATTAAATTGTGAATACCTAAAGGCCAGGAGCCATATTTTATTTTCCTTTCAGTCTTCCATAATGACAGCAAAGTGTCTCCCCTGTTGTGGAAGCTCAAAAATTTACTTGGTTCACTTGAATGATAGCAGCTCTGTGTGTTTTATTTTATTTTATTGTGATTTAGGCGAAAGTTTACGAAGCAAATTCATTTTCCATACGGCAGTTCATACACATTTTCCTTCATGACATTGACTACAATCCCCATAACGTAACAGCTCTCTTCCCACTTCCTCCCTGTAGTTACCTCTTCCCTGTGTCTTTCCTTCCTATGCATTCCTGGCCCCCTGAACTGTCTCCCTGTGCAAATACTGCCAGCTCTGTGTGTTTTAACAATGATGAGAAACCCAAATAAAGTAAGAGTCATGGTCAGGATCTCAGGAAGCAGCTACTATAGAATCCAAGAGTACTTACCATCTTAGTGCAAATAGGTGAAAACAAATATAGAAAACCATACCAACACTTGGTTCCATCACATGTTCAGTACTGATGTGTGTGGGCCTTAAAGTCTATGGCAGACATGGGGACACGCAAGGTCTAATTCTGTTCTCATTTTCTAAGTTTCTAACTTATCTCTACCTATGTAACAGTGTTCCCCCCCCCCCCACCCCTGGTAACCAACAAAGAAAATTTCCTTCCATAGATAAACCTTTCTTTGACTTTTACAATAACAGACTAATACAATATTGGTACTTCTGTGGTTGACTTATTTCACTCAGCATAATGTCCTCCAAGTTCATCCACGTTATGTGGTGTTTTGCAGATTCTACATTATTCTTTAGTGTTGCATAGTATTCCATTGTGTGTATGTACCATAGTTTGGTTATCCATTCCTCAGTTGATGCTCCCATCTTTTGGCTATTGTAAATAGTGCTGCGATGAACATGGGTATGCATATGTCTGTTCTTGTCCTGGCTCTCACTTCTTTAGGATATATACCTAGTAATGGAATGGCTGGCTCAAATGGTATTTCTAATTCCAGCTTTTGAAGGAATCGCCATACTGCTTTCCACAGTGGTTGTACCATTTGATAGTCCCAATGATGTAGAAATCGTAAGTAATAAAATGGAGTGTGTAAAATACAAAACTGGTAAAAAAAATAGGGAAAAGGGAGTCTGAAAGCAAAGCCTACATGAAAAGGGGACCTGTTCCAGGAAGTGAAAGGCTTTGGTATTTCATAAAAGGGTTTTCAGGAAGTTACACTGCAGGTCAAAAAACATACTAATAATATATTCATTTTGGTAGTTGGTCTTAAATCTCCTAAATCAGCTCTTCCGTTGAATATGCTTTTTCTAGGAATGGGGGATGGGGAGTGGTTTTTATTTTTCATCAGTTAGAGAAATCTACCCACCCCATTAAACAAGCATGAGGTAACACCTGGAAATGACTAAGGATGGCAAATCCAGAAAGTTAGCTCAAACTGTTAAATTTTGGTTACCGTGATTAAGTCAAGGTCTCCTTGGATTACACTTCACAGCTTGGATTCAGCCCTTATAAACTGGAAATTGAAGTTACTGTCAACATAACAAAGAAACTGATTCCTCTTCAGCTAATCAGCCTCTCTGCTATGTTGATAGAAGCTCCACCCTCTAGCTTGTGGGCTGAAACTATGTACTCTTGAGTGTTAATGTAGAGGGATTGTGTTCTTTGTTTTCTCCACCTTGTCACAAGCAGTCAGTCCTTGCAGATGGTCTGTGGATTTAGAGTATCCAAGTTTATGATATTAAAATGGCCTATGGTTTTATTTCTGTCATGACTTAGTAACTGCCTTAGTGTAGTATTTTAAAGCATCCTCTTTCCTGAGTTTTTGGAAGGCCATTTGGGGAGCTCTGGTGGTGTAGTGCCTAAGCCATTTGACTGCTAACCAGAACGCTGGCAGTTCAAACCCACTAGCCACTCCTTGGGAGGAAGATGGGGCAATCTACTTCCATAGTGATACCACCTCGAAAACCTAAGAAGGGGTCGCTATGAGTTGGATCCAATTCCACGTCTGTGAGTTTGGGTTTTAGTTTTGGTATCACTTATTTGAGAATGGCCAGATTTTGTCTTACCTACTTTGGTCATGTTGTCAGAAGGCACCAGTCCCTGGAGGAGGATATAATGTTTGGTAAAGTAGAGGGTCAGCATAAAAGGGGAAGACCCTCAATGAGATTATTGACACAGTGTCTGTGATGACAGGCTCAAGCACAGTAAGGATTGTGAGGATGGCTCAGGATGAGGCAGTATTTTGTTCTGTTGTATGTAGGGTTACTATGAGTCGGAGCCAACTTGACGGCACTTAACAACAACATCATCGCTTATTCAGAGTAACATTTATAAAAGCAGGAGATGTTTCTTGTTTATGACTGTATTCCTACCACTTCAATAGTGCTCAATAAATATTTGTTGTACTGCTAGCATCCCCAGTTACCTGGCATAAGTAAATAAAACTCCTCTCCTAAAGAAATAACATAAAATTATTGACACACTTAGTTTCTCAATATGACATTTAGCACAAAATCAAATGTAACAAGGCACAGGAGGAGATATGACTGCATGAGCAAGAAGCATTCAAAACAACAGGTACTAGAAGCAGACCCACAGGGTCTCCTGATTTTGGAATTATCACTTAGTACAGGAACAGCAGTGAACAACTTTGGTTCCCCCAAAATAAGTGTGTGGAAAGACTGATAGGAGACCACCTATTCATTAATTCAAGAATATTTGTTTGAAGAGTCATAATCAGCCCCAGTGGAAACAAAGAATCAGATTAAAAATAATTTCTTCCTAGTGAGTATATGAAGGTGCTCTGGTGGTGTAGTGGATAAGACATTTGGCTGCTAGCCAGAAGGTCAGGAGTTCAGACCCACCAGCAGCTCCATGGAAGGAAGATGAGGCAATCCCCTTAAAGATTTACAGCCTCGGAAACCCAATGGGGGTTGCTATAAGTTGGAATCAACTCAATGGCAGTGAGTTTGGGACTTTTTTCGGGGGGCGAGTGTTTAGTGGGTATATGATTGTTCACTATATAATTCTTTAAACTTTTCTGTACTTTTGACAGTTTTTGTAATAAAACTCATTGCCGTCTAGTCAGATCTGACTTATAACGACACCCTCCTTGGGTTTACGAGGCAGTATCACTGCGGAAGTAGATTTCCCACTCTTCCTTCTGAAGAGTAGCTGGTGGGTTTGAACTGCCAGCTTTCTGGTTAGCAGGCTGAGGAAAAATGACAAAAAAAATAAGATTAACTTCCCCCTCCTCTTTTAGGCTGCCATTCTGGCCCTTCTAGCACTGATTTTTGAGAGGCCTCAGATTCCAAGTTGCACCATTTTAGAATCAACTGCTACCAGTAATTCCCCATCTTGTTGTTGACAAAAGATACTTCTTTGACACCCTTGTCCAATTTCTGTGCCCACTGGCCTCATCAGTCACACCCTCAAATTCTTTCTCTAGCTCTCCATGAGACTGCTTCAACAAAAGTTAAATTTATGACCAGTGTTCAAAACAAAAAATAACGGACATTATACTCAAAAGCACTCAAATAAATTTCTTTGGTGAATAATGAAAGGATATTTTTCAACCCCCAATCTTTGTGTGTGTGTGTGTGTGTGTGAAAAGTTCATTTCTCCACTTTTGTGGCTATGAACAAGTATTTCTCCAAAGATCTCAAGATTTTCCCCAATTTTTCTCTTACTGCCAAAAGAAGAAAAATAATCCCTCAACCCCATATTTTACTTTCTTTTAGGTTTTATTTTATATGCTGATGGGGGCTTATTTAGCTTCAAAATTTTCCAAAAAGACATCTGTTAAAATGTTGTGGGTATTCCAGCAGGAAATGTTTTAAAAATTGTCTTTGGTTTGTAATCTAACTGATACCACATGGCATT